CACCTCCTTAAGTCAACCCTCTTAGAAGACATTATAATTAAAAAATATATAAGACACTAGCTTCTGAAAGACATCAAGACACCAACATTTTATTTGCATGACACATGGCAGCCTAAGGTTTTGTAATCCAAGGCAATGTACATGTGTTTGACTTTACATTCTTACTCCAAGGTGGTTGAAACCAGACTCTATTCATATCAGTGTGTTTATATTCTAAGGCAAGTGCTTACTTCAACAAATAAGAACAGGAATACACGCTGCATAAAATCCTATTATTCATCAGAGGAACTAAATGAGTCAGAGGGAGAAAGAGCAATCACTGGACATTAAGTATCTAATGTTCTAATTCAGACAAGTGCCTTAAACTAATGAAATCCATTAAACTGAGTGAATATTCTGACAAACAGCAGTGGACAGCACAAAAAAAATAAATTAGTTGACAGGCAAGATACTTCATTTTTTAAATATTTTTTTTCCATAGGTTATTGTGGAAGAAGTAGTATTCAGTTACATGAGTAGGTTCTTTAGTGGTGATTTGTGAGATTTCGGTGTACCCATCACCCAAGCAGTATACACTGTACCTAATTTGTGGTCTTTTACCCCCCACACCCTTCCCACCCTCTCTCCCTGAGATCCCAAAGTCCATTGTGTCTTTCTTATGCCTTTGCATCCTCATAGCTTAGCTCCCACATATGAGTGAGAACATATAATGTTTGGTTTTCCATTCCTGAGTTACTTCACTTAGAATAATAGTCTCCAATCTCATCCAGGTCACTGCAAATGCCGTTAATTCATTCCTTTTTATGGCTGAGTAGTATTCATATATATATATATACACACACATATATACACACACACACATATACATATATATGTACACACACACACATACACACATACACACATATATGTATATATGTGACAGGCAGATCACGAGGTCAGGAGTTTGAGACCAGCCTGACCAACATGTGAAACCCCATCTCTACTAAAAATACAAAAATTAGCCAGGCGTGGTGGCGAATGCCTGTAATCCCAGCTACTCAGGAGGCTGTGCCAGGAGAATCACTTGAACCCAGGAAGTGGAGGCTGCAGCGAGCTGAGATTGCAACACTGCACTCCAGCCTGGGCAGCAGAGCAAAACTCCATCTCAAAAAAAATGTAAATGGACTAAGTACTTCACCTAAAAGGCAAAGACTACCAGACTGGATTAAAAAGAAAAACCAATGAACCAACTATATGCTCTTTATAAGAGACATGTTTTAAATATAAGAACACATGTTAAAACTAAAAGGATTAAAAAAGATATTACACAAATATTAACCACATAACCTGGGGTAGTTACATTATAAACAATTTTTAGAACTGATATCTGATCAACCCTCTAGTTCAAACTATGAATTTTTAGGAAATACAGGAGAACATGAATACATCCTGAAAATACAATCAACAAAGTGTGAATCATGGAATCCTTTTCAGAACAAATGATTAGCTTTCTTCAACAAATATATAGCAAGGAAAAAAATAAAGAGAAACCTATTGATTAAATAAATTACGAGACATGGCTACCTTTTGCCATATAGAACTTAAGCAGATGCTAATTCAGATAAACTGTAAAAAAAAAAAAAAAAAAAAAAAAAAAAAAAAAAAAAAACAGACACTATAGGGAAATGTAGATACCTGACAGGATACTGAATAATACTAAAGATTTATTTAATAACAGTGTTATGGTATGTTTTAGACAGTATTTTTACAGATACACACTAAGATACTCATAGATAAAATGGGATAAAAAGATACGAGGTTAGGTATTTGCTTCAAAATTTGGGGGGTAGATGAAACAATATTGGCCATGAGTTGGTAGCTGCACAAACTAGGTGGTGGCTTCACTGGAATTTATTCTACATTCTCTTCACTTGTATTTATGGATAAAATTCTCCATTACAAAAGTTTTTTTTCTAAACAAATGAAAAGGTACATCACCACTGTGTCATCAATTACGTACAACATGAGCTATCAAAGGTGGCTTTGTTCCAAATATATAAAAAATATATACAAATATGTTTTTTCTACAAGTACATCTCAACATTGTTTCATCAATACTTTGCGCTTGATTCTTTGGAAAATATTTTTTGAATAAATAAATAGGAGAAAACAGTTACTTCAAGGTGATATGTTTACGTGTGTATGGATGTGTGTGTAATTTCCCTGATTACTAATGACACTGAGTACTTTTTCATATGTTATTAATATTTGGCTTTCCTTTTGGACAAAAAGCCTATGTATATTACTAAGCAAAAGCAATAGCAAGTTAAAATATTGTTTCATTGTTGTAGATATATGCTACTGTCAGTTATGTAGGTTGTAAATATATTTTTTCTTACTCTGTGCTTTGTTTTTACTCTCTTAATGTTGCGTACTGATGCATTAAAAACACCTTACTTTTAATGTAGTCAAATAATTAAATGTTTTCCATTTTAATTACCACTTTTTGTTTCTTATTTTAGAAAATTATCCCTTCTCTGAGATCATGAAAAAATTCCCTTCTATTTATTTTTAAAGCTTTATTATTTTGTTCTTTACATTTAGTACTATGAGTCATTTGGAATTCAGTTTTTGACTATGATGTAATATAAGGGTCCAGTTTTATTTTTTCTTCAAATGAATATTACTTATCCCCTCATAATTAATTGAAAAAATTCATTTTTCTTAATACCTGCAATGTCCCTTTTCATAAATATGTAACCTTATAAGTCTATTTTGAAGTACCGTTCTGTTCTGGTCATGTTACTTGATCTTTGTGCCCATACCACACTGCCTTAGTAACTATAAAGTATAACACATGCTGCCACCTATTCTTCATTATATATGATTGTCACAGCTATTTTTATCCTTTGTAATCCATATAAATTTTAGAATCACATTATGAATTTCTATATAAAAGCTATTATGATTTTGAATCAGTTTGTATACAAATCCATTGAGGAAAATTGGTATTTTGATACTAGTAGATAATTCAATCATGAACATTTTGATCTTCATAATTATTTAGCTCTTTCTGAAAAATATTTTCTCATTTTACATTTAAAGTTTTATAGTTTTCTTCATAGAGGACTCTATACCTTTTATATTTATTTCTAAGGACTTCTTACTTTTTGATGTTGTTATAATCTTTTAAAATTTTTATTTTCTTACCGGTTAATGTTGGACTATAGAAATATAATTGGTTTTGTATATTGATTTTTCTATCCAATAACCTTCCGAAGCACTTATTAAGTTTATAATTCAGCAGTGGGCCAGTCTGTCTTTACTGCATATACAATAATGCCATCTGTTAACACGAAATTTTATTTCTTCCTTTGCAATCCTTATACATTTTCCTTTTCTTATTTTAGTATACTGTCTTGAGTCTCCATATAATGATGAACAGAAGTGGTAATAACAGGCATTCCTGTATCATTTCTGATTTCAGAAGTGAAATTTTTAATATTTTACTTTAAGTATAATATTTGCTGTAAGTTTTTTGTAGATATTCTTTTTGATATTAAAGAAGTTCCCTTCTATTCCTACTTTGTAAAAAGTTTTTTTCATAAATGAATGCTGATTTTGGTTTGTCAGGTTTTTTCTTTCCAATCATGTATGGAGATGACTTTTCTACTTACTCTGATGACATGGTAAATGATATTTTTTTTTTAATGTTAAAACATGCATTTCTTAAACCACAGTTGGTCATATTACATTTTCCTTTTTATTTATTGCTTGATTCTCATAACATTTCTCCCCCCTCAGGATATTTACAACTATGTTCAAAAGTAAGCTTATCCTGCAATTTTTTATTCTTATATTATTCTTGCTAGGTTTTGGTATCAAGCTTGTACTGGTCTCACATCATGAACTAGGAAATACACACTCTTTTAATTTCTTTGGAGTAGTTTGTATAAAAATGAAGTGCTTCTTCTTTAAATGTTTGTTAGAACTTGCCATTAAAACCAAACAGATCTATTATTACTTTGGTGGAAAGCTTTAAATCATGTATTCAATTTCTCTTGCATTAACTCCATTTCAATTTTTTCTTGTATATGTTTCTCAAAGTTGTACTTTTCTAAGAATTTGTTAATTTCTCCAAAAATTTTCAAGTTTATTAGTAAAGTTGATCATAATGAACACTTATCTTTCTAAAAAAGTGTAAGCCTTTTTCCTTTCTGGACCCAGAAATTTACTTTATCTTCTCATTGAATACCACAATCATAGAAATGTCAACAACTTCAAATAGCCCAGTAGGTTCAGCAATCTGTATTTAAAAATATCTAAGAAATATGGCTGTCTGGAATTAACGCTCTCTAAAGCTGAAATCACTAATTCTTTCTTTGCTAGTCTGTTTCATTTCAAGTTCATTCATTTATTAAGCAAAGTTGCAAGATAAAAGGATAAGGGTCATTGCTGTCAAGATACTTGCTACCTGTAAGAAGAGATGTTTCTGATAAACAAACAAACAAAATCTCATGAAATAAATCCTACTCTGTGCATGATAAAGACATGGACAAGATGCCATGAAAACTGAGAGGAGAGGTATTCTTACTTTTCTTTTAGAATTGTATTTTATGTGTTGGCAAGAATAGTGGAGTAGTAAAAGTTGAGGAAGCAGAGGGATGCAGAGATAACATCCAAAATGGATTTATATGTCACACCTAGGACACGTAGAGTGAATAGAGTGTATGTTGGGGTAGCATCGACAGCTCTTAAGTGATCTAATTTGCATTTTAGAAAGTAAGAAATAAGAAAAAATTTCAGGTACTTGTAAGATGCGTAGCTTCAGTAATTTAGAATTACATATCCAAAAGAAAGATAATCCTACCTATTACCAATATGAAAACCTGTAATCTACAGAAGTTTAAAAATGAAAATTAAAAGACTTGACATAACAAGCTGATGTCAGTTTCTCCCAGATAAGTAACAGAGATAAGAAAGAAAAGGAGTACAGGCAAACATTTCAGTTTCTACACCTGTAACAGGATGGTCCATAGGGACATTCAGGCCGGTCATCAGTCTCATCTTGGCCCACGATTTGTACACCTCCATAATCACTATCACCAGGATGACTAAAACATTGAAAATGAACAGGATTCTTCCTAGGAGGGCAACAAACAAACTGTCAGAAAAAATAAATATAACAGTCTAGATTTACAGTGGATATAGCAAAAAACCAGGCAATCCATATCTGGCTATTCCTGAACATAAACCAACATGCTACATTGATGACATAAGCATAAATTATAGCAACACGTTAAACTGATGACTTAAAGTTGATGATATCAGCTCAGTACAGGACTCTCACAGTAACATAATCCATTTCTGGTATCATGTGATAAGACATGAATATCAGTAGACAACTTGCAAACATTACTATATATAGGACACATATGTATGTAACATACAATATAAATATCATAAGCATATATAGCTTTTCAAAACTTAATAAAATGAAAACATATATTGTACCCTTTGCTAAGATAAAAAAAAAACAGAACATTTCCAACATCCTAGAAAGGTCCCATTTCCCCTCTTCCAATCACTAAACCCATTTTACCACCCAAAGGTAACTATACTAACTTCTAAATGTGCTTTTCAAACTTCTCAGTCTCAAGACTCTTTTATACTCAAAAAATGATTAAAACTCCAGAGGGCCTTTGTTTACATAGGATATTGACCCTATTAGAAATTAAAAATGAGGAATTGAAAAAAATACATTTAATTACAAAAAATTAGCTGGGCATGTTGGTGCGTGCCTGTAATCCCAGCTACTCAGGAGGCTGAGGCAGGAGAATTGCCTGAACCCAGGAGGCGGAGGCTGCGGTGAGCCGAGATCGTGCCATTGCACTCCAGCCTGGGTAATACGAGTGAAACTCCGTCTCAAAAAAAAAAAAAAAAAAAAAATTTATTGACTTAAATAGAACAATAATAAACCCTTTACATACTATCATAACATATCTTAAATAATTCTTAATTTTCAAGAAAAAATTCAAGGCAATGTTGTTTTATATTATGGAAATTTATTTAATCTCTGCTTTAGAGAAGACATTTGGCTTCTCATGCCTGCTTCTGCATTCAATCCATTAACAACAACACATACCATGTGGCCTCTGGGAAACTCCACTATACAACTGTGAAAGAGTAAATGACGGTAAAAAAAAAGGCATTCATGAAAAGTCACAGTACTATTATGAAAATATGTTTGTGTTGGTTGTGGTGGCTCACATCTATAATCCCAGCACTTTGGGAGGCCAAGGTGGGTAGATCACTTGAAGTCAGGAGTTCAAGACCAGCCTGGTCAACATAGTCATACCTCATCTCTACTAAAAATACAACAACTAGCTGGTGTGGTGGCACATGCCTGTAATCCCAGCTGCTCGCGAGGCTGAGACAGGAGAATCGCTTGAACTTGTGAGACAGAGGTTGCAGTGAACCAAGATTGTGCCACTGCACTCTAGCCTGGGCAACAGAGCAAGACTCCATCTCAAAAAAAATGAAAAAGAAAAGAAAATACTTTGACCTAACAGATTTCTTAAAACTGTTCTGGTGACTTCCAGGGTTCTCTGGATCATACTTTAAGAAGTGATATTATAAAACAACAGATCAATATTGCCTGCCTTTGAACTTAAATGAAAATATATATTCGTATGTATTTCTTTGAACCTACCCTTTTATGTTTATATGATTTATTCGTGTTGTTACATGTAGCAGTAAGTACACTTTCATTACTATGTAGTAACATCATCATCCATTTGATGATGCTATTATACTTTATCCATTTTACTACTGATAAACTTTTGAGTTCATTTCAGGTATTGACTTTTATAAATAATACTGCAATGAGCATTCTAGTATATAAGCCTTTTGATGCACATCTATATGCATTTTCCTGGGGATATTTGTTACTAGGATACAAAAATATATTTATTCTTGAATGTTCATTTTGAATTGAATGACTGTCTTAACTTCATTTATTAATTCAGTTTATCTTAAGATTATTCTGAATTTTCTCTTATTTCATGTCCATGGATGGGAAGAATCAATATTGTGAAAATGACCATACTGCCCAAAGTAATTTATAGATTCAATGTTATTCCCATCAAGCTACCATTGACTTCACAGAATTAGAAAAAAAAACTACTTTAAATTTCATATCAAAAACAGAGCCTGTATAGGCAAGACAATCTAAGCAAAAAGAGCAAAGCTAGAGGCATCACGCTACCCGACTTCAAACTATACCACAAGGCTAATGTAACCAAAACAGAATGGTACGGGTACCAAAACAGATATATAGACCAATGGAACAGAAGAGAGGCATCAGAAATAATGTCACACATCTACAACCATCTGATCTTTGACAAACCTGACAAAAACAAGCAATGGGGAAAGGGTTCCCTATTTAATAAATGGTGTTGGGAAAACTAGCTAGCCATATGCAGAAAACTGAAATTGGACTCTTCCTTACACCTTATACAAAAATTAACTCGAGATGGATTAAAGACTTAAATTTAAGATCTAAAACCATAAAAACCCTAGAAGAAAACCTAGGCAATACCATTCAGGACACAGGCACGGGTAAATACTTCACAATTAAAACACCAAAAGCAATGGCAACAAAAGCCAAAATTGACAAATGGGATCTCATTAAACTAAAGGAGTTCTGCACAGCAAAAGAAACTATCATCAGAGTGAACAGGCAACCTATAGAATGGGAGAAAATTTTTGCAATCAATCCATCTGACAAAAGGCTAATATCTAGAATCTACACGAAACTTAAACAAATACCGTCTCACGCCAGTTAGAATGGTGATCATTAAAAAGTTGGGAAACAGATGCTGGAGAAGATGTGGAGAAACAGAAATGCTTTTACACTTTTACACTGTTGGTGGGAACATAAATTAGTTCAACCATTGTAGAAGACAGTGCGGCAATTCCTCAAGGATCTGGAATCAGAAATACCATTTGACCCAGCAATCTTATAACTGGTATATACTCAAAGGATTATAAATCATTCCACTATAAAGACACATGCACATGTATGTTTACTGAGGCACTGTTCACAATAGCAAAGACTTGGAACCAACCCAAATGCCCATCAATGATAAACTAAATAAAGAAAATGGGACACACATATACTATAGAATACTATGCAGCCATTAAGAAAAATGAGTTCATGTCCTTTGCCAGGACATGGATGAAGCTGAAAACCATAATTCTGAGCAGACTAGCACAGAACAGAAAACCAAACACTGCATGTTCTCACTCATAAGTGGGAGTTGAACAAAGAGAACACATGGACACAGGGAAGGGAGCATTATACATCAGGGCCTTTCGGGGTGGTGTGGGGCAAGGGGAAGGATAGCATAAGGAGAAATACCTAATGCATGTGGGGCTTAAAACCTAGATGGGTTCAGCAAACCACCATAGCACATGTATACCTGTGTAATAAACCCGCACGTTCTGCACATGTATCCCAGAACTTGACATATAATTTAAAAAGAGATTATTCTGAATTTTCAAAATTATACAATCATGTCATCTGTACATAATTACAGTATTATATCTTCCTTTCCACTCTACATTAGGTATTCCTTTTTCTTGCCTTAGTGTATATTAAGTATATGCTTAGTGGGGTTATGATCTCTACTGCAATGTTGAATAGGAGTGGCGATAGTAGACATAGTGGGTTCCAATATCATGGGAGAAGCTTTAATATTTCGCTATTAAGTATGAGGTTAGCTGCTGGTTTCTGTAGATATTTTTTATTAAACTGAGGAAGTATTTTCTATTCTTACATTATTAAGAATCTTTTAATAAATGGGATCTTGAATTTTATCAAATGACTTTTCTCCACTGAGATGATCATTAGGAATTTTTTCTTTTAAACTGTGTTATGAACTGAATTGTTTCCTACCTCCCAAAACTGAACTGAATCAGTTGCCTCTGCATACAAAGTTTCAGGATATAATATTTATTATGCCTTTTAAAAGGCATAAATCAGAACTATTCAAATTGAAAAATATGAGTTATTCAAGTGCTAAAATGGCAATACATTTTAAAGAGAAGTAATATAAATGTGAAAGTAACAGAATATATTAAAATATACTATTGCAACAAAGATAGCCATCTTCTAGAAAATCCTGCTATAAGCTTTTAAGATACAGTGTGGGAATTAAATGTTTTATATGTACACATGCTGACTAATGTCTTATTGACACAGAAGACAGTAATCTACTGGAATGCATTGCTAGAAATATTTTGGTTTGCCAAGTTAGAATGGCAAATAAATCTTTCTGAAATAGGTTTATGTAATTATAACATGTTACTGTAAACGCTATGGATGAAAGTATATCTAAAACTAAGAGATCATAATTTGAATTCTCAAAATAAGAAATTAGAATATACAGGGCAATGTAAATAAATGAAGCAAGTATAGGAGCAACCATCAATCCAGGATTATTACATTCAGTTGTTTTAGGGTACCATGATGATTCAAAGCACCATTAGAAAAATATAAAGAAAAATGCACATGTATGAGTAAGACACTTACACACAACCTAAAATTATAGTTATACTGTATACAACAACTACTTAGGAAGCCATCTCTCTAATATCTAAGAAGAGATTAAATAACAGGTATTTAGGTCTGAGGGATTCAGTTTTTATGTCTGGATTCCCTAGTATTCAGATCTTCACATTAGCCAGCATGTCTAGAAAATACACTGAGAAAGTACAAACACTAGAAACATGATTAAAGCCCCTAACCTTTAGGCCAGTGGGTTTTATCAGATTTTTAATACACTGTAGCATGTAGCTACATAGTTACATGTTATCAAAATAATGGAATTAAATGCTACTAAAATGCTATTAAAAAATTCATTTTACCTATAGCAGTTTGCCCCATACATGCAGGATGTCCTCTTGACCTTGTTTTCTTCAGAACCTTGTAGAACTGAATTGGAGGGATTAGAGCTGGACTCAGGATGAGACCCTTGAGACTCATCCCGGGATGACTCGCCCTGGGCACTCAAACAATTCTCAAAACAGCTCACTGCATCATCATCTTTATGTGGCTTTCTTTTGGTGGCAATTTTACGTTTAGAAACTTTACCAAGTTCCTCTATTGGAAGTTTATTTCTCTGTGTATTAGTCTTAATATTATTCATCTCTGCATTACTTAATGTGACTGCAGAAAATGATTGTGGCATTTCCTATAAAACAAAAATGAAAAACAACAGAAATTAATGAAACATTTTTAAAAAGAAACTCAAGCATATCAGCACAAAATTATAAGATCCATGCAAAATGTAAACTTAAAACTTCAAGATTCACATTTTAAAGTTATTAAATGCCACTCTTTTCTGTTCTTAGTTTAATAACTTAAAACATTTTTAGTTATTAGAAAAGAAATTTACAGTTGTATTAAACCTTTACAATCGTGTCAAACCTTCAGTGAAAAATAACCAGAAAATACAATAAAATATAAGAGAAGACATCTGCTTTCATTAAATGTAATCTTTAATATCTCTTAAATGTCACTGCTCAACAATACGTCATGTTCAACAATGTGTCATGTTCTTAACATGCACTGTCCTTGTATTTTCTTTTTTCTTTTTTTTTTTTTTTGAGCTAGACTCTTGATCTGTCCCACAGCCTGGAGCACAGTGGCACGATCTCTGCTCATTGCAACCTCTGTCTCCCAGATTCAAGCGATTCTTCCACCTCAGCTCCCCAAGTATTTGGGATTACAGGCACATGCCACCATGCCCAGCTAATTTTCGTATTTTTAGTAGAGCTGCGGTTTCACCATGTTGGCCAGGCTGGTCTCGAACTGCTTACCTCAGGTGATCTGCCCACCTCAGCCTCCCAAAGTGCTGAGATTACAGGCATAAACCACTGCACCTGGCCCCTTATCATTTGTTATAAGCTACATTAATGTATAATACATTATTTCTGCCCTCTAAATATAATCATGATTTTAACATAGCCGAATGATAAAATTGTTTTGCCCCCACAGAAAATTTTGCAAGATCTGATTCTTTTTCTAAATTGGTCAGAACATAGCTTTATGCAAAATTTAAAGTCTTAAGACTTTAAATTTATCTTAATAAAGGCTTGAGTTTAACCAAACTGAAAGTGCTTTTAACCAAATAAATACTTTCATTAGCACTGCAGAACCTTTATAATTTGTACTTACTACTAGCACAAACAATAAGCCTGGTCTTATTCTGTTAAAAATGATCTTTTAATTACTTATACTTCTTGTGGAGTAGAAACAATGCTCAGATAAACCCCAGTTCTCCTGGTAACCATTTCTAGGATGTGATAACAACATACCAGATACATACCAATGTTTGCTTCCATTTATAACTAAGGACTCATGTATGCTGGATGCCATCTGAAAAAAGGTGGTTTTACATTACCTAATATTTAATAGCTTAAATTTCTTAAGAAGATATTTCATTTTTTAAGAAACAGTACATAAATTTACAATGCTACCGAAACTGACTGACTGCCTTGAAAAAAGGAACCTAGATCTTATCATGGTTCTTATAGTAACAGATAACCAATGGGGAAAACAATCCTTTGGCTATCTCTTGGAGCTGACCCTCACTGTAACATTCATATCATATCTCTCTAAAACATATGCCCTTTGCTCTCAAGCTGCACAATTACACCCCAATCTCATTCCCCCAACTACAGGACCCACTGGCCGGCGCAAGCAACTGGAATTCTCGAGTGAGAATTGGGCAATCCTAACCCAGCCACCTACTTGGTAGTCCCTCGCTGGGTCAGTTCTCCCCAGTTTTCTTTTTCTTTGTTCAGGTAGCACTGGCTAACAGATGTTCAGTAAAATGTACATCTTGTTCCTGTTGGCATTTCCAAACTCCACAAGTAATTCTCTTAGAGTGTCCCTCTTCTCTTGATTTTAGAAAAGAAAGAAATAATTTCTCCCATAAATACTGCACTTCCTTAACCTTAAAACCTTTTGGCCTCTCAGTTCTCTTTGTATAAAGCCCAGGGGTTGGGATGGTAGTCACTTTTTGTACCTTTAAATAAACCATAAAGGGAAAGGGCTATTTTTTACTGCTGAGGGCCCCTTAACATGGGATACTTTATTAGTACTTCTGTTCACAGCTTTGAGCTTTAGCAGCAGTTCTGGGACAACAGGGAAACAATTCCATTCAATATCATATCACGTTAAAAAAAAAAAAAGCACAACTAGGGAAGTGGTTAAAAAATTAGGTTATATTCTTATTTTGAAACACTATGCAGACATTAAAATAAAAACATCTAAAGATGTTTTTAACTAAACAAGAACAATATCTATACTGTGATGCCATTTAGTTTTTTAAAAATTCCTTATATATTTATGTGTGCCTTCACTGTGTAAATCCAAATGAAAAGAGTTAGAAGTATATAAACCAAAAAATTACTAAGACAATGATATTGAAGGATGAAACAAATGGAGGTTTTCATTCTTCAAATGCTTCTGATACTTCCGTTTTTGATGATAAACAGGTATTATATTGCCATTTAAAAATAAAAATTAAAAAACCAACAAAATGAAATATAGGAAATGAAATGTAGAGTATCATATTTCAACTCCAACTTCATGAAAGATTAGAATTTATTTTTTTAAATCCTCATGAGGAGTATATTTAATATGTTAACTTATTCTAAAAGAGAAAGAAATGTTAAAGTCCCAAATATCAATACAACGGATCAGAGGTTCTCAAATATATTTTAAGAGGATCAAAAGCTGGAAATCATAATGCTCTTCATGAACTCCATGAAATACTGATTTATAGTATACCCTTGGCATTCAAGAATTTAACATTCATAGTTTAAATTATTTATAAATGGTCCAAAAATCCATTACATGCAGTAATTTGTAAGTTTGCTGAGACAGAAATTTGCACTGTGCCAATTACAAAGCTCAGGAGCTAGAGTAAGTCACTGAACTGGCAAGTGAGGGAATAGGAAAGATGGGAGGTGCTCTGTACTTAGAAGTAGGAGAAAAGCAGAGAGCTCTATATTTCCTAAGCATCCCATATTGTTTATTTCTTAGATTAGATGAGAATGCACAGGATTAAATGTGGAAGGCTGGTAACTCAGAATAGAGTGGCCAGATCCCCTACAATGTAAATATACATGTTAGAGACCTGAGGGACTGAAGAGCATGGAGCTGATAGAGGGTGACCTGGGTGTTTGGAGGTGGTGGGAAGGTATAATTAAGGCTACTAAAATAGCTGGTTAACCTATCAAACAAGCCCTTCTCCTGCCCCTCAACCATCTGAGTGTTAATGTACTAGAAGGGAGAAGATAAAGAACTTCCACCTAGAACAAATTCAATAAAGTAATTTATTGTTGTTTCCAAACTGCTCCTGGCAAGAATGTCTGTGGTGATAAATTGCCTTAAAAGTCCTGCATCAATTCCATTAACACTGACGTGCTATAAGACTAAAAACTCCTAACCTCCAACCCCAACTTCACTCCTGAGCTTCAAACTCATACATTCAACCACTAGCTACACATTTCTTTCTCAATATTCCATGCTCCTCAAACTCTAAATGTCAAAACTGACATTCTGCCTCTGTGTTCTCTGGCATAGTTTCTGCCAACACTTTTCATCTGTTCATGCTAGACAGAAATATAGAAGTCTATCTTTTACTCCTTCTTGCCCTCTCCCCAGATTCAAGCAAGAAGTCCTACGATTTTATTCCTAAATACTTATATAATCCAATACTTCTTTCCATCCTTAAAGTCACTGCCCTAACTTAGATTCTCTATTTCATCATTGTGTTAATTCCACAATCTCTTCCCTTACCTCCACGTCTTTAATCTTGTTCTTTTCCAATATCTCCTCTAGCAAGCTGCCAGGATTATATCTGTGACTGAAAACATTTCAAGGGCCCCTCTCTATAAACTGGTCGCACTGTTGTCTTCACCCTCATCTCACACTGCCATCCATCTGAGGCCTGGTAACTTGCTCTGACCAAAAGAATTCAGCATAAATGACAATTCCAGTTGTAGGCCTTAAAAGATCTAACAGCTTTAACATCACTTTTTTGGGGCCCAGCTGTCAAGTAAAGATGCTCTGTCTGGGCTACTTCATGGTACAAGGAGGGAGGTGGGCCCAGCCAGCCCCCAGCCATTCCATCAACCTTTGCTGAGGCACCATTCACATGAGTAAAGCTATCACAGATGCTCCATCTTCAGCTGAGTTCTCAGCTGAATGAAGCCCAGCTGATACCAAAAAATGTGTCATAAAAGAATTGCCCAACTGAGTCCGGCCAATCCTCACAATTATAAGACAGAATATAATCATAATCACGGATATAATCATGTTGTGTTAAGCCACTAAGTGTTGGGGTAGCTTGTTTCACAGCAATAGACAGCTAAAATACTTTACCATAATACTTTCACTTACATTGTTTCAGTTAGGCTTCCATCATTTACAAGAGTTCTCATTAGATTATGTAAAGGAAATACAATGTCTTAGTCTGTTTTGTAACTGCGATAACAATATCACAAACTGGGCAATTTATAAAGAACAGAAATTTATTCTCTCACAGTTCTGGGGTCTGGAAAATCCAAGATCAAGGCACCAGCATCTAGTGTGGGCCTTTTTACTATGTTCTTACATGAGGGAAGGTGGAAGAGCATGGAAGGATGAATGCTGTGTCATTCACAGCAGAAGAGTGAAAGCATAAACCCACTTCTACAAGCCAAGTCCATCTTGTTGTAGAGATGAGGTCTCCTTATGTCACCCAGGCTGACCTTAAACTCCTGAGCTTAAGCAATCCTCCTGCTTCAGCTTCCCAAGTAGCTGGGACTACAGGCACTGCATCCAGCTTTGTAAGCTTTTTTACAGCAGCATTATCCATTCATGAGCATGAAGCACATAACCTAAACAGCCTCCCATTAGGCCCACCTCCCAGTACTGTTGCACTGAGGATTAAGTTTCAACATAACTCTTTAGAGGAGACAAAAACACTCAAACCATGGCAACCATCCTTTTCACTAAAGTTAATTCAAGTACCCTCATTTTCACTTCTAGACAGTTACATAATTTTGTAGAAAGACATATAAGAACTGATGAAAAATACAGACTATTTCTGAAAATTGTCCTATGAAGAGAAGTTACTAGAGTCACAAAACTCTTTTCATAGTCTAATATGTATGGTAGAAAAATTCATTATACCCAAAATGAAAAGACCTATGTTTGACGCCAACGTTCCTAACAATGTGAACTTGGGCCTTAGTTTCCTCTGAGGTGTTCAATGATGGCACATCAGTAGCTCTCAACTTTGAAGGGACACTAAAATTGGGAGAGTTTAAGATACCACTGATGCACAGGCTCCACATACCAAATGAATCAGAATCTCAGAAATAAGGTCTAGTTGGGCAAAAGTGATTTTTGTCCCTTCTTTCCACTGCTTCTCCTACTTTTCCAAAAGAGAATGTAATTCATTCCAAGTACATTGATCCAAATGTAGGCCTAGCTAAACTGTTAGTGGTTTTTTTGTAGCTGGCAACCTCCTGTCATTAACTAGATAGGTGAGCCTAGCCTCCTGTTTCCTCTCACCTGCTCTGCACTTTAGCGATCCCTTTAGGACTAGCTGTTCTAAAGGTTCAGTGTTCAGACTCAAAACTAGTCAGGGATGGAGGATGGGGTTTGGAAAGGCCCTGCTGGGATCTTCAGTTTAAGTCATGTTCTCTGCCTCAGCTTTACCTGCATAAAGGATCATGAAAATGTAAGCCTTATTTTTCCTGTGCTAGAAGAGGTAAATCTCCCTCAGAAGGAAGGAAAGAAAAAGCAATTGGCCAAATAGAACTTGGGCATTTCAGGGACCTGGCTGTAATACTCCCCTGATGTCAACAAAACCTCACAATACCTTAATATTTTAAATCTGCTCCTCTCTATAATCTATCAATTAAGATGTTTCTCAAAGTTTTTCTTGTGATTATCAAACTTTATGGGTTGGGATAAATAGAGGAAAACATGTATACTATAGATTTTCTTATGAATACAATAATTTCTCTTGAAAAAAAGGCAACGTCAATTGTCACGTTCAGAGTTCAGAGAATAGAGTATATGAGGGCTCAATGTTTAGACAAAAAAAATTTTAATAAGTTTTATGGCAAACATATGTGAGCCAGAAAACATTTTGTTTTCATTTATTAAGCTTGCCTCCATAAGTAAAGCAAAGGAATTGAGTGTATAGTGACCAGGCCCCACTTCTCTAGCTGGAAGACAGACTCCAGTGAGAAGCTGGTTCCTCTCTCTGGGCGAGAGAGGAAGAGTGTGAAGAATATATTCAAAGACTGACCTCTAAGGTAGATGCTGGCATTTCAATCATTTTAGTGTACAGTCTTCTATGACCAATCCTCTTCCTTTGGTTTTCCCTGAGACTAAGACAGGGATCCATCCACAGAGCTCACCCACAAGACTACAAGGATCATGAAAACTGTCATCATAAGCCACCTCTCACTAGAGAGGAAGGATGCCTGAACCTTCTGTCCAGGGCCATCTCTATCTTTCTCTCTTTTTAAGTACTTCTAATAAACAGTCCTCATTTTCTTTAAGTACCCAGTGTTACAGAATGCATGTTTCTGTCAAACAATTCTAGGGAGTTCGCAAAAAACTGAAAGAGGAAAGAAGGTCTAGAAATACTGTGAGTCAGCCCAGAAGTGATCCTGCAACAGGTAATTAAGAACTATCCCATCATTTGTTTTTCTTATCACACTCAGCAAGAAAATGGTGGCTAAATGCAATCTGAGAACAACCAATGGAATAAGAGAAGCCAGGTTTCACAATGGAGGTGCCAAATTATGACCAGAGTCAAGTGGTCTCCACTTTTTTTCCCAGTCTGAAAATTTCTAAATGTCATGGTTTTATTCTCTACAAAGCAAACAAATACTATGTTAAAGATTCGTTTCAGTAAGTCTGAAAAAATTGGGCTAGTTTTTGTCTTCAGAGACTCAACAAAAAAAGGCAGTTTTGGCTTCTCCTTGTACCACGTATGATTAATTTCTATCTAAAATATCTAACAAAGAAACAATCAAATCATGAATTTTTAAAAATCACCTTGGTTGAAATGACAGACTCTTCCTGATCAGCATTTTTGCGCTTTTCTCCTGTGTCTTGTTCTGCTGATGTATTTTCTGAACTTCCTGCAGAAATTAATTGCCCTCTTCCTTGCTGTGGTATGTTTGGTTGGGTGTTATCTTTGCAGACTATTTCTTTTCCACTTCCCTGGGTTACATTACCTTAAACACACATAAAGAAAAAGAAGAAGAAAATTATCTTCTGTATTTTCAAATGTCAATAATCCATACTAAAAAAAGAAAAAGGATTCGAGACCAGCCTGGCCAACATGGTGAAACCTGGTCTCTACTAAAAATACAAAAGATAGCCAGGTGTGGTGGCGTGCACCTGTAATCCCAATTTCTCAGGAGGCAGAGGCATGAGAATCACTTGAACTCAGGAGGTGAAGGTTGCAGTGAGCTGAGATCATGCCACTGCACTCCAGCCTGGGCGACAGAGTGAGCCTCTGTCAAAAAAAAAAAAAAAAAAAAAAAAAAAAAAAGTGGTGGGGTAGGGGGAAGAAAAAGGATAAAAGGGCAAATAAAATTAAAGCTCCATTTACAGTAATGCTAACTTAAAACACTTATGTGCAAATCTCAGAAAGTATTAGGCAGCAAAATGGCCAAGGGCTCCAGCCCTGGATTCTACCAGGCTGAGATGCCAATAGGGGCTCCACCCTTTAACTATTCTATCTTACCTTTCTCAACTTTAGTTTCATAACATGGATAATGGGAATTATGATTCATGGAATTATTAGGAGAAGTAAATGAAGTAAGATATATAAACTAGCAGAGTACCTGATACACGTTATTTTTATAATTATAGAATTGAATTTCTCCAACAGAAAACCTGACTCACAGCTATCCAATAAACTTTACATATACTTATTAAATCCTAACACCCACAGTGAGGAATTAAGCTCATTTTTTTTTTTATGACATGGAGTCTTGCTCTGTCACCCAGGCTGGAGTGCAGTGGTACGATTTTGGCTCACTGCAACCTTCACCTCCCGGGTTCAAGCAATTATCTTGCCTCAGCCTCCCAAGTAGCTGGGATTACAGGTGCACGCCACCACAGCTAGCTGAATTTTGTATTTTTAATAGAGATGGGGTTTCACCACATTAGCCAGGCTAGTCTCGAACTCCTGACCTCAGGTGATCCACCCGTCTAGGCCTCAAAGTGCTGGGATTACAGGCAAACCCAACATAACCCAAACAGGAGAGTGATTTCTACCAACTTGCCCATGAAGTAAATAAATCTCAATAACAATGGACATTGTATCCCATAAAATACTTACCCAAAGTTTAATGCAGTTGGCAAGCCTAAGTCACTATCATATTTTGTTAACAAATTCATAATTGTCCATGGCAAATTGTCCTTTTCCTCTACTTGAGAGTGATATCTTCATGAAGGCAAAAAGTTTACATGCCTTGTTCACTGTTCCTCCCTTGTGTCTCTAGTATCTGCAACTGTGCCTAGCACAAAACGTGTTCAATAAATATTTCTGACTAAATGAATTCTGAACATAAACAATTTGTCCAAAGATTCTCTTAAGAGCCAGGATATAGGTATGTAAAGCAATATGTAGTCATTATTCCAATATTCTAAAGCAGGGATTAGCAGACATTTTCTGTAAAAAGCCAGAGAGTAAATATATTAAGCTCTGTGGGCCATACAGTGTCTGTCACTACTACCCAACTCTGCCCTTGTAACATGAAAGCAGTCACAGACAACACATATATGGCTGACCATGGCCATGTTCCAATAAAACTTTATTTATAAAAACAGGCAGTGGGCCAAATTTGGCATATGGGCTGTAGTTTATTTACTCCAGTTCTAAAGGACATTCAAGTAGCCTGAAATAACATTCCTTCTTTAAGTTGAGGAAAGAACTGCCAATGGAATACTGTCCTTATTATCAAATAGGAATATCAATTGAACCAATGTAAAAATAACATATTTATCACAGGAAACTTGTGAATAAACTATTCTAAAAACTAAACTTTAACTAAATTATTTAAATATTCATCATGAATCTAAATTAGGAAATATTTCATATCATTTCTGGAAACTGTCATAAACATGATTTAATAGGTCTGTGTAGCTTGGTACACCAAATGACCAAATGCTGTTAACAGTTATGAATTAAACCAAGGGAAATATTGAACTAATGGTATTGCTGATTATGCTAAGAACTATAGTAAATTAAATAAGACACAGCTTCTACTCAAATGGTAGTCTATATATTCCAAGTGTCACACATGTACCCAAAATTCTAAAATTAAAAATATATATATTTTAAATACTCAGAACTCCAAATTCTTTACTACAAACCCCCTCTAGGGACTAGGGCTAATTTTTGTTTTTTTGCATAAGAAGCCACTTTGATATTATTAAAATGCTCTTCACAAAGAGTATATAAAAAATGAATAGCTTAAAATGGCTCAAAACAGTCTTTATATCTGGTATGACAAATATTCTTCTGAAATCTAAAATAGGTACAGTTAAATGACAGAAATATAAAAGAAATTAACTATTAATACAAAACAGCTTAATTTTAACTATTAATAATTGTACTTACATGAGCTGTTATACTAACACTACATGAATAATAGCTCAATTATATATATGTATCATTAAAAATACATCCATCCAATCTTACCCTCTAGAGGAACTACTTCCAAACAACTATATTAACTATTACATGTATATACTTCTCAATTTTTTCCTGTGTTTAAGCCAATATATCTACAAATACATATGCATAAACATATATAGGACTAAAGGTACAAATGTTATTATTTCTGTGGTTTAAATACCTAGGATTGCAATTTCTGGATCAAAGTGTATCGTATATGTAAAAATTTAAGAGATACTACAAGTGACTTTGAAATGTTATACTAATTTATGCCTCCACAAGTAATGTTCGATAATACTCCTTTCTGCCAACACTGGATATTATCAATTGTTTAAATGTTGATGAGTTAATGAACAAAAAATGGTAACGAGTTGTTTTCAATTTACATTTTCCTACTTGATAGTAAAGTCATATATTTACTATTTGTATTTATTCTTCTGTAGTATGTCATATATAATGTCTAAAATTTCTACTGAGTTTTATCATTTTCGTTAATAAATAGACAATGTTTAAAAAACCTTCTTTTATAAATGTGGTAGATATATCTCAGTATATCATTTACCAGTCTGTTATTTACCTCTGACTTTATTTATAGTATCTTTTGCATACAAATATTTTTCCTTTTTATTTAAGTAAATCTATCAGGTTTTCCCTTAGGATTTCAGGCTCTCTATGATCTTAAGAAAGTGTACAGAAGTAATCAAAATATTTTTCCCATACTTTCTTCAAATGCCTTAATTGTTTCAATTTTTATATTAAGACTATTAATTCAATAGAAATTTGTTTCTGAATGTAGTATAAAGTAGTACTTTAACACTATTTTCTTCCAAATGGAGAGCCAATTTTCTCAATGTCATTGTTGAATAATGTATCTTTTCTCTATCAGTTTGAACTGATATGTATTTATATATTAAATATATGTTTTTAAAATCTGTTTCTAGGTGTTTCATTCTTTTTTTTTTTTTTTAACTGGTCTAACTAACTTACCTATTCCTCTACCAGAATTATCAACTACCAAAAACAGGCATCAGGCCCAGATCAGGAGAGTTCCATGAAGAAACATAATTTTTCAATTATTCAAATTGTCCCTGACTATATATGGAAAACTTCTCAATTCAGTGCTCTAACAGTAAAATCGCACATAGAAGGCATACATAAAGAAAAATGCAGACTAACCATAACTATAAATAGAGATATCCTAAATCAAACAGCAAGTTTAATCTAACAGAGTATAAAAATAATAAGTTATCACAAGACTGAACTTATTCCAGGAACACTGGCATAGTATATTATATTAGGATATCTACTAATATCATTAATTACATTAACACATGAAATTGCAGAACTATTTCTATACCAAAACATTTTTAAAATAATTCAACAGTTATTCCTGAAAAAACAGTAAAAATAAAATGAACCATACTAAACATGAGATGACTATTCATCAGAATCTAATACCAACCACATAAAATGCCAAAATACTAATTTCTATTAAAATCAGGAACAAGAACAGACCAATTTGAAGCATTTTTATTTAAGGTTTATAGGGTTAAGCTAAGACAAGAAAAGAAAGCAGTAGGTAGATCAGGAGAGCAAAAATTATCCTAATTCTATAGATAATATGATTATACAGCTAGAAAATATGAGGTTCAAAAACTATTAAAATTAGATAACTTGGCAAAGTTGCTGGAAACAAAGTAAACAGAATAACTAGCACTTTACATAAATATAAGTACATTTTGAACTGTAGTTCAATTAAAATAATGCTAGCTCAATAGTTATAATCTGCATTAAATTGCCATACTGAAAATATTCACAGTATAAAATAAAATGCAAACCAAACAGTATGAGGACCAGTTCAATCTTCACCAGCATGTGCCACATTTTACAACTTCATGTTGGACGCTTAGAAGATGGAGGAAGAAGAGCTCTATGGAATAGCATGATATCAGTGAAAAGATAAAAGCTCCTTTTTCAATCTACCAAGAGTATCCTAACCTAAGAGTTATGATTAGTCTTCAGCCTGGAAAGCTGAAGGAACAGAGATAAATGGAGTTCAAGAAAGGGGAGGTTCTGAAAGCCTTTCCCTAAATATATTTAGTTCTCAATCACTAAGGACATGCAAAAAAATTTAGCCCAGGCCTGAGAAACTCATGACAACATCCAAGTGCTAGTACCTGAGACGTAAAAAATAAAATAAATTAGAACTATATTGGCTGTCCACTTTCAACACTTCCATTTAACACAGCACTGGAAGTCCTAGCCAGAGCAACCAGAGAAGAGAAAAAATAAAGTGCATCCAAATCAGTGAAGAGTCAATGAGTCAAACTGTCATTGTTTGCTGATGATATGACTGTATACCTAGAAAACTCTAGAGACACAACCAAAAAGATCCTAGAACTGATAAAATCAGTAAAGTTTCAGGATACAAAACCAGTGTACACAAATCCTTAGTACTGCTATGCGCCAACAGTTCTTGAGAATCAAGTGAAGAACTCAACTCCTTTTACAATAGTTGCAAAAAATAAAAATAAAAAAGCAAAGCAAAGCTTAGGAATATACTTAACCAAGGAGGTAAAATACCTCTACAAGGAAAACTATAAAACGCTGCTAAAAGAAATCACAAATGACACAAATAAATGGAAACATATCCCATGCTCATGGATCAGTAGAATCAATATTGTGAAAATGACCATACTGCCAAAAGTAATCTACAAATTCAATGAAATTCTCATCAAAATACTACCATCACTCTTCACAGAACTAGAAAAAACAATCCCCAAATTCATGTGAAACCAAAAGATAGCCCAAAGCAAGTCTAGCCAAAGCAACACTAAGCAAAAAGAACAAATCTGGAGGCATCACATTACCCGACTTCAAACTATACTACAAGCCTACAGCCAGTAAAACAGTATGGTATGGGTACAAAAACAGGCGCATAGACCAATGGAACAGAATAGATAACCCAAAAATAAAGCCAAATAATTATAGCCAACTGATATTTGACAAAGCAAACAGAAATACAAAGTGGAGAAAAGACACCCTATTCAACTAATGGTGCTGGGATAATTGGCAAGCCACATATGAAAGAATGAAACTGGATCCTCATCTCTTACCTTATACAAAAATCAACTCAATATGGATTAAAGACTTAAATCTAAGACCTCATACCATAAAAATTCTCGAATATCAGAAAATTTCTGGGCATTGGCTTAGGCAAAGACTTCATGACCAAGAACTCAAAAGCAAAATGCAATAAAAACAAAGATAAATAGATGGGACTTATTAAACTAAAAAGCTCCTGCTCAGCAAAAGAGATAATCAATAGTGTAAACAGATAACCCACAGGATGGGAGAAAATCTTCATAAACTAAGCATCTGACAAAGGACTAATATCCAGAATGTACAAGAAAAAACAAATCAGCAAGAAAAATAATAATAATAATAATTCCATCAAGAAGTAAGCTAAGGGCATGAATAGACAATTCCCAAAAGAAGATATACAAATGGGCAAAAAACATACAAAAATAAATGCTCAACATCACTAATTATCAGGGAAATGTAAATCAAAACCACAATGTGATGACACCTTACTCCTGCAAGAATGGTCATAATTTAAAAATCAAAAAAATAATAGATGTTGGTATGGCTGTGGTGAAAAGGGAACACTTTTACACTGCTGGTGGGAATGTAAGCTAGCACAACATTTATGGAAAACTGCGTGGAGAGTCCTTAAACAACTAAAAGTAGATCTACCATTTGATCCAGCAATCCCACTACTGGGGATATACACAAAAGAAAAGAAGTCATTATATGAAAAAGACACCTGGACACACGTTTATAAAAGCACAATTCATAATTGTAAAAATATGGAGCCAGCCCAAATGCCAATCAATGAGTAAAGAAACTGATATATATAAAATATATTTAATCCGTGTGTGTGTGTATGTGTGTGTGTATACACACCATGGAATACACACACACCATGGTACACACACCATGGAATACTACTCAACCACAAAAAGGAACAAAATAATGGCAGTTGCAGCAATCTGGATGGAATTGGAGACCATTATTCTAAGTGAAGTAACTCAGGAATGGAAAACCAAACATTGTATGTTCTCATTTATAAGTGGGAGCTAAGCTATGAGGATGCAAAGGCATGAGAATAACACAATGGACTTTGGGAACTTGGGAGGAAAAGTCAGGGAGTGAGGAAAAAAAAACTATACATTGGGTACAGTGTACACTGCTCAGGCAGTAGGTGCACCAAAATCTTAGAAATCATCACCAAAGAAGTTATCCATGTAACCAAACACCACCTGTTTCACAAAAGCCTACTGAAATAAAATAATAATAAAACAAATATAGTAATGACGATGATAACAATAAAAAACTGTATTGGCCGAAAAAATGAAAAAGCCTGATAACAGCAAAAATTCCCCTACATATAAAGGACTAAACAAAGAGTTAAACTGAGAGACCATCCAAGAGAGATTGCAAGGGCATATCAAAAAAGGCAAACAAACAAAAACCAAACATATAAAGAGTAAATTTAGGTGGCTGTACGATGATATGTTTTAGGACATGGGCTTTAAAGTTAGTCAGAGCTAGGTCTCAATTATAGCTCTGGCATTTATTATATGCTCTTGAATAAGTCAAATAACATCAATTAATGCTATTTGTTCTGTTCCTAATGATTCCAAAGTTTCCAAAAATCAAGTTAGTTTCAGATAATCTACATAAAGACCAATAACCACAGTTATAGTCCCAAAGCTGCAAAAGACATATGAAAGTTAACCATATCTGAACAAGCCGCAATGCATCCTGCAAATTGATTTTTTTAAATCTCTCACATTGTCCTATTGATCTCCGTCATTTATTAAACAAACAAAATAATTTTAAAAAAATTAACAGCACCACAGAGAAGTCTAATTGCTTTAACTTTTAATTAGCAGGATTCAGGTACTAAACTGTTTTAAAATACTAAACTGTCTTTAAAGGAATTAGGTAACCTAATCTTGCTCTTATACCGTACTTCTCCCACAGTCTTAGTTTATAAAAAGATTACCTGAATCCAAAGACTTTTCTTATTTTGAAGCTTTAGCATTTTAAGTACATTATACACATGCAATATTCCAGACCAATGTCAAATTACTCTCATATGTATTTTCAAAGTGAAGTGCCCAAAAAGGTGCTTCATATTTTACATCGAACATCTATCAAGTGAAAGAAAATGTATTTGAAACAAAATACACGTTGAACTACTATAAGTGGTGGCACAGAAGCAGTTGCAGTACAAAACAACTCTGAAAAAAAAGGAGTTGTTTGCAGAGACCAGGTCACATTCGTCCAATTTTTAGTCATTTTCTTCTATCAGAGAAATTGTTCTACTGAGGGAAAGTGCCTGCACCTCCCCACTACCATTCCCCATATCCTTCCTAGAAATTGAGGATCAACACATACAGTCAGAGATGTTACTGATAAAAATATATCCATATATATATTAAACATGAATTGTGGGGGTGGGGAGAACTGAAAACAACTGTACCAGAATAAAACTTACTGCAAAATTCTTAGGCTTAGATTGGAAAATTCTCCAGATTAAACCACGTCCCCTTTAACACATAATGTATACTACACTTTTCCCATGAGAACACTTTGATCCTAGTATAATCCAAACTAGCATTAAATAAGATAAATTCTGTGCATAATATATTTAATCCAAAACTTTGGAAGGCTTCTATGACCACTATGCAAAATACACAAAGCACCAAGAGTATAACTTTCGAACTAAAATGTGTATTCGTTTGTGCTGTTAATTTTTTTTAATAATGTTTAAGGTAAAATGGCAAAATAGCATAACTAAACTAATCACTGCAAATAAAATCATTATAAATTCAGGATAAAATATTTTTTAACTATCTGTAGGCACTGGAGATTGACCAAAGAGGCAGAGTTGAAGAAGTGTCGACATTGCAATTAACAATAACCTATGAGGTTTGTGAACTTGTGACTTTTTTCCTGAGGGTATTCTCCAATTCACTTGTGGCAGGAAGCTGTAACCTTACTGGTTTAAATGGTCAGAGCAGAGAGTTTAAGGCTAGAAGAGAGAGTGGAGGATGAGGGATAAAATCCTGGAGGGAAGGCAGCCTCAGAAGGGGCAAGAGCAAAAACCTACCTATAAACTTGACCCAAATTCTTGGTTGACTGCTAGACTACATTTGCATGGGGCCAATCCCAGGGACTCAGAGAAAAATGCAGCAGCTAGGAAGTAAAAGAACTACATAGAGACTGCAGCTGTCATCCATAACAGGTGAAACAGTGTAGACTCTGAATCCAGCCAAATTAATTGCTATTACAACAAAAATACTTCTTCTGAGGAATATAACATAATCAAGAGCAATGTATCATTCACAATATCCAATATCGATAGAAAATCACTAGGCACAGAATACACAGGAAAATGTGACCCCTATAAAAAACAAGCAGTCAATAAAAAATAAGTGTGAAATGACAAAGTTGTACACAGATGCAGACTTTAATGAAGGTATTATAAATATAATCAAAGACTTACAGAAAAATATACAAAAGATTGAATAAATGGAGAATCTTATCAGAGAAACATAAACTATACAAAAAAGAACCGAATAGGAATTTTAGAACTAAAAAGTACAGTAAGTAAAATGAATAATTTGCTAGATAGACTTAACAGCAAATTAGAGATGGCAGAAAAAACAATCAGTAAACTTGAAGGTATATCAATTCATCTGGCATTTTTAAACATTAATTTTAAACATTCTTATTGTGCTGGCCTTTTATCCTAGACATAGCACCAAGGGGTTTCTTTGAAAGTCTTTATTAATATAATTCTAGCACATAATAGCACTTGTTAAATGAAAACAAGTGTTTTGATAAATGGTATAAATGGTATTTGACAAATGTTAATAGCCTATGTTTTAAATTAGACCTCATGTTCACATCTAAAAAAAAAACTAGGCTAAGCTATACTTACACAACTCTATAGAGACAGTTCATAGATTTTCTTCAGAAAAACTTTCAAATTCTGTTTAATGTTTTCTTGAAAGTCAGCATTGGCAGAAACAAAAACCCACCTCCACTGATTGCTGGTACTGAAAGGTTTTGATCACTTAAATGTTCTGCTAACATCCAAGCTGGAAGGATCCTTTTCCTCTCGGCAAGGACTGGCTGCTGCTTACTGAAGTCTCTACATTCACCTAGGAAAGACTAAAAAGACACCTATAAATTACTAAAAATAATCATACATCCTTAATGAATTTGCAAAATATTTGCTTTGCCGAATGCTACCATTAAAATACCCATGTGCAACTGTATACTGAGTTCATCAAATTTCTTAAACAAAGAAATTAATTATTTCTATTAAATGTTGGACTACTGCCATATTCTCTAGAGCTTAACTTAAAATCAGCAAAAGTTGATAAATGCTAGCAATACTGTCATAATAGACCGAATTTCAGTTGTCTTTTCTGCCTTTATAATAACTTGAAGAACATGTTATCAATGGATGAGATCTCAAATTTCTCACCACACTATTTGTGGTAGTCATCTGGGTCTTGGCTATTTCTGCACTTCCTTCCGGTTGTGAGGCACCAGTAGTCTCATGAGGTAAATTAATAATGGGGGATTTTGGTGTTTCATTCAGTACATTATCTTCATCAAGCATTTGACTGTTTCTATAAGATAAAATAGAAACTTGTCTTAAATTTTAAATGTAATACATTTCTGCTGCCTTCAGACTACATCTGAGTTATAACACTTTTCTCAGACTTAGCAAAAACAAAAAAAGCAGATTATAGTATACTAGAATAAAATATATAGACTAGAATATATTCTTTATTTCCTACCTGCTAGCCATGAAATACATCAATCTTTCCAAATCATGGGCCTAGAAACCCCAATTATTTATGAGATGTGTGGCAGCCTTCTCTCTCAAGGCTTACGAGCTCTTTATTTAATATTTGGGCAAATAGTTCATAAAAATTAAGACCACCACCCAGCCTCCAGAGAGATCATGTAAACTGCAATGGTGTCAGTTAAGCTAGTTAGACTCTTAGAGAAAAAATAAATAAAATCCTGATTTTCAGTTGACACATAGCTGCTACCGAAGTTCAGGCAAGTATTAATAGAGCTACTTATGAAATATCCCCAAACTGCAGTATAGCTGCAAGCTAAATGTTCTGGCACAGGAACATCCATGGTCACACGTGGGACATACTAGCAGAACCAATTACCTCATACTCTCTGCAATATGCTGTAAGGTCATCCAAAGTTGTTAGGTCATTATTACTTATGTATGCATAGACATGATCCAACACATTTGCCTTTTTGAAAATTTGAAACTGTAGACGAACTACTACTCAGAAATAACAAGGAATGAACTATTGATGTGTGTATGAATACGGATGAATCCCAAAGGCATTTTGCTAAGTGAAAGAAGCCAGACACAAAAGGCATATTGTATTACTCCATTTATATAACATCCTGAAATGCAAAGCTACAAGGACAGAAACCAGATTAATGGTTGCCTGGGATTTGTAGTAGAATGAAGGGACACACTACAGAGAACCATGAGACAATATGTGGGGAAATGGAAATGTTCTATATCTCACTCTGGTAGTATTTTAAATGACTATATTATCATTTTTAGTGCATTGAATTGCACATTTAAAAGGGATGAATTCTATTGTGTGTAAATTGTCCTCATTAAATGTGAATTTTTAAAAACTAAGATGTAAGATTTTAGAAGTGCGTCTAGCTGAGAGGAATCTAATTAACCACTTTTTATTTGTTTGTTTTGGTATTTCTTATACAGTGAATAATTTCCTTCAAAGGCAGCCTTGAATTTCAATGGCAGGAATCAGCCAAAAGAGAAAATTTAGAGTAAATTACTATGCAGCATCATATTTATTGTTCATTCAATCAATATTTTTAAAACTTCTACTGTGTCACACACTGTGCCAGGTGCTGGAGACAAATTCTTGGAAATATATGATTGTCAAATCTATAAAAGTTCACTCCACTACAATACCAGATCCATTTTACTCATAAGTTACAGGTGTACTTCCAAATTATAATTTTTTTCTCAAGTTTTCTTAATATTTCACATGGAAAATATTAAGAAACATTTAACAGTAGTGTGATAATTTTTCACAAGTGATAGGAATTAACTAACATCATCAATTCCATTTCTAGTTTATTTTCTATTCCGGCATAAGTCTGAGATGAATTCATACACACTCTATAGTCCATATGCAACTTTTATTAACAGTTATCCAGAATAAATGTAATAACAACCTCAGAACAAAATTCTATTTAACATTTTGTTCAAAAAAAGAACAAGTACAAATTGTTCTATTATACCTTTATTTAAATATCAAACACTGTCACTGTAATACATATTTTTATTTTATATTCAAATACTTCTAGGAGCAATCGACTATCACAGGATTTAGAAAGCTTTATTACAGGATATTTTAAATAAAAAATTAAAACTTGGAAAGTTAAATGTGGTCTAATAAAGGTAATTATCTTTTTTATAATAGCTTTACTGAAAAATAATAATGATAAATTCATCCTGTTCAAGTGTACTATCCAGTGGTTATTAGTAATGGTTAACAGAGTTGTGCAACCATCATCAGTCTCTAATTTTAGAACACGTTCATCACCTCATAAAGAAATTCCATATGCATTAGCAGTCTCTTCCCGTTGCCTCTTCCTCCTGCTCCTGGCAACCATTAATCTACTTTCTGTCTCTACGAATTTGCATTTTCTAGATATTTCATATAAATGAAATACAGTATGCGGTTTTTCATATCTAGCTTTTTCACTTAGCACAATGTTTCAAGATTCATCTGTGTTGTTGCATATATAAGTATTTCATTCCTCTTTATAGCCAAATAATATTCTACTGTATGACTACAGAATATTTGTTTATCTATTCAACAGTTGCTGGACAGCTGGGCTATTTCCACTTTTTGGCTATTATGAGTAATGTTGCTGAACATCTATGTACAAGTTTTTATGTGGACATAGGTTTTCAATTCTTTTGGGTATATACATAGGAGTGGAAATGCTGAGCCACATAGTAATTCCATGTTTAAACTTTTGAGGAACAGCCAGAATATGTTCCAAAGAGGCTATACCATTTTATAATCCCACCACAGTGTATAATAGTTCAGTTACTCCACAGCCTCACTAATGCTTGTTATTATCTTTTTGATTGCAGCATTCTTAGTAGACGTGCAGTGGTATCTCATTGTGGTTTTGATTTGCATTTCCCTGTGACTAATGATGTTGAACATTTTCTCATGTTCTATTGACCATTTGTATAGAACAAATGGTCTTCTTTGGAAAAATGTCTATTGAAATCAGTTATACATTTTAAAATTGGGTTGTTTGCCTTTGTGTTGTTGAGAATTCTTTAAATATTCTGAATATGTCTGTTATGAGATATGTGATTTACAAATATTTTCTCTCATTCTGTGGTTGTCTTTTTACTTTCTTAACTGTGTCCAATTTATCTACTTTTTCTTTGTTTGCTTGTGTTTCTGGTGTTATAACCACTGCCTAATGTAAGGTCACAAAGATTTACACTTGTTTTTTTCTAAGAGTTTCATAGTTTTAGTGCTTATATTATATTTAGGCCTCTGATCATTTTAAGATAATTTTTAATATGGTGTACAGCAGGAATCTAATTTCATTCTTTTTCATGTGGATATCCAGTTGTCCCAGCACCATTTGTTGAAAAGACTATTCTTTCTCCCATTTAATTGCCTTGATGTCTTTGTCAAAAACCAACTGGCCCTAAATGCAATGGTTTACTTCTGGACCCTCAATTCTATTTATTTGATCTATATGTCTTTCTTTATACCAGGACTGTCTTGATTACTGTAGCTTCATAGTAGGTTTTGAAGTCAAGAAGTGTGAACCATCCAACTTTCTTCTCCTTTTCTAAGATTGTTTTGGCAATTAAGTTATTCTTAAAGTCTTTCAAATATATTCAAAATGTTGTTTAAATATGTTATGTATTTTCATATCTTGAATATAACATGCTACTATTATGAATAATGTGGATCTAAAAATACATTTTTAAATAATTATAAATGAATTTGAAACTTGCATATTATCATACTATCATGACATTTTCATCAACATTTTATTGTTTCTTCAATAACAGTAATCAAAATTAGTAGTTATTTATCTGGAATCTATGTACATAGATTTTCAACAATTTGTAAAAAAAAGTAATTCAGTATGACAAAGGATTTACTTTACTTTCCTCATAAGAGTCTTAAATAATCTCCCTAGAGAGACAAGATCATACTTCCTTATCAGCAATGAAATTCAGCTACGAAAACAAAATGTTATACTTATCACATTATCACTCAATTTAATATCCTCAGACATTTCATTAATGTGTTCAAAAAACCAACACTTACTAAGCACCTACTATTGGGGAGGAAGAATTAATATTAGTGCTTCTATGTGAAATGTGCTATAATTTAATTTACTAAAATAAAAAAAACAAGTATTCTTTTTCTTATTTGACTTTCTCTTTGACTTCTCATAAAAGCATGGGTTTTGATACTCCAGGCAGGATAATTTCATAGTTACATATATAGAGAAAAGAGTGCAGAATGAACAAACTAGAACTGACACGTATAGACTTATTCATTCGGTCAAAGTAGGCAATGAGTAGGACTAATTATGCAGAATCTAACTTCTGTATGTAAAAAACACTTTAATATGAGTAAAAGGAAAACCTAAAGAAATGACAAGCTTTTCTGTCGTTGGTTTGTGGTTCAGATCCCTTTCTTAAATTTACAACTGGTTGGAAGAAAAGAATTATGGCAAGAGAGTCCTAACAACTTCTACAAAGGATGTAAACTTTCTTCTATTCTGTTTAAATTTCTTAAATATTTCAACATGCAAAAATATATAAAGAATATATGTAGTCTCTCTACATCTCTAAGAATACAAATATTTTTGTATCTACCACCCCAATAGAAACATTTTCTCATATTTGCTCCAGATTAATTACAAATATAATTCAAGCCCTCTCCCTGCCCAGCCTGAGTCTTGTTCCTCTCTCTCCCATTCCTTCTCCAAAAGTAAACATTAGCCTGAATTTGATTTTATTGTTCCCATGCCTGTCTTTATACTTTTACTATTTGTATGTATATATCCACTATTTTATAGAAATTATGTATGTTTTATATGTTTATAACCTTTTTGGGGTTTTTCCCTCAACATTACAGTGGGGAGATTTATCCATGTTTTAACCTGAGCTCTCTCTTAGTTCATTCTCTTCCACATAATTATAGGACTACACCAAATTTATTTAGCCTTTCTACAGGTGTTTTCAGAATTCAAATGAATGCTATAGTAAGCATTCTCATGCAGCAGGGGGTAGTCAGTAAGAGCATCAACTCTGCAAACAGGCTTGAGTTTGGATCCCACCTCTGCCATGTATTAAGTTGTGACCTTGGGCAAGCCTTAAACCTTCTGTGTCTCAATTTCTTCATCTGTAATATAAGGATATTAACAATACTTAGTCCTCATAGAGATTATTATAAAGATTAAAAAGTTCATACATGTAAAGCTTGTGCAACAGTAAAAAGTGTTTTTATGTGATTGACACTGCCAAACAGAGCTAGTTCAAAAACGTGAAAATCCCAATGATATCAAGAAATGTCTAAAGTGTATTTCAATGCTTCCAATCTACGACATAGTCCACTTCTTGCTAGACAGTGGACTCTCCCTCTCTGGAAATCAGGCAGCTGTCTCCTCCATATAGACATCTCTCATGATGATACTCGAATTCAAAATCTGCCCCCACCTCCCCTCATGGCTTCTAATGTAATATCAGAGTTAACTCATCATTACCTGACTAGAGAAGTACTGCCCTTACTTCAACAGGAAACTAAATATTCACTAAAGAGCTACAGGTTCTGGCTACTGGCAGAAACCACAAGAATGTGCCTGCGATGGTGTGATATAGTAAGAAACACATATGTTGGTCTTCACTTCTGGTTCCTGGCTGGAACTCCAAAACAGGTGAAAGGAGCATCTTTTGTTATTCACAACATGCCCCTTTCAACCACACCTGAATTTATGTTAATGAGGTGACTTTTGGAAAGCCTCTAAAGATGAAGGGCTAGTTTTCAGGAAAACCAATCATATGATTAGAGGGTAGGAACTCCCAAACCACCACCCACCACCTCCAGGGAGGGGACAGGGGCTGGAGATTGACTTACTCTACTTGGCCAATGATTTACTCAATCATGCCTTTGTAATGAAGCCTCCATAAAAACCCAAAAAGACAAAATTCAGAGGGCTTCCAGGTTGGTGAACAAGAACATGTCCAAGTGCTAGAAGAGTGGTATACCCCAACACTCCACTGGAACAGAAGCTCCTGTGCTGGGGACCCTTCCAGACCTTACCCTATGTATCTCCTCATCTGGCCATTAATTTGTATACTGTAATATAGCATTTGTAATAAACCAGTAATCTAGTAGTAAGTAAACTGTTCCTGAGTTCTGTGAGCCCTTCCAGCAAATGACAGAAGCCAAGGTTTAAATAGCCTGAGAAAAGTACAGTGCTGTGAAAGTGGGTTTATTTTCAGTTTCATCAGTAAGAAAAAATTCAAAATTCACTAATCCCATAACCTGATATATTTAAAGTGTGACACTGGCCTTAAAGACACTGGTCTTTCACACTAAGGGAATAAGCTAATTTGAATTAATATAAATAAAATTTAAATAGACATATAATACTTTAAATAAGTTATCAGGCAATGACCATACTTTGTTTCATAAAGATGCATATTTTCCTAATTTTTGAAAAAAGTATATAATTCTATCATGAAAGTTTATTATAACAAAAAAATCAGTTCTTTACATGTCTCATTTTGACAGCTGTTTTAACAGCATGCTTCATACATGTATGATGAGAGAAAAAGACTTGAACTTTAAAGTAGTAAGCATTTGGGAGGCCAAGACGGGCAGATCACAAGGTCAGGAGTTCGTGGTCAGCCTGGCCAATATGGTGACACCCGGTCTCTACCAAAAATACAAAAATTAGCTGGGGGTGGTGACACACACCTGTGGTCCCAGCTACTTGGGAGGCTGAGGCAGGAGAATCACCTGAATCCAGGAAGCGGAGGTTGCAGTGAGCCAAGATCCTGCCAATGCACACCAGCCTTAGCAACAGAATGAGACTACATCTCTAAATAAATAAATAAAGTAGTAAGCACTAGTTAAGGAATTTCATTTAACTAAAAAGCAACTTCCTTTTTTTCCACTTATGTTTAAGCATTTTTAGATATAATTTATATACAAAATGCAGATATCTGAAGTGTGAAATTTGATTCGTTTTGACAAATGCAGACACCCACATAATCTGCACCCTTAACAAGAGACAGAATAAGTCCATATTTGTTTAAAAGCTGAAACAAAGCCAAACAAAAAGCTCCCTTATAGCTTCTTCCTAGTCAATCCCCTTGGAAATAACCATTGATTAAATTTCTATTTAACAGATTCGTTTACTTATTACAGAATTTAATGTACACGTAATAATATAATAGATACTGTTTGTGACTTGCTTTTCTTTTTGGTAGATTCCCAGGATTTTCTAAATATACAATCATGTCATCTTCAAACAAATACAGTTTTACTTCTTCCTTTCAAATCTGATATATATTACCTTTGTTGTAGTCCCAATCTTAGGGAGAGAACTTTCAACATTTCACTAACAGGTTTTTTGTAGGAAAAAAAGTTTCCTTCTTTTCCTTGTTTTCACAAAAATTTTAAAAATCATGAACAGGTGTTGAATTTTGTCAAAATTATTTTTGAGCATCTATTAAAATGATAGTTCTTTAGTCTGTTATGCTGAATTGCTTTGATTTTTATATGATAAACTAACCTTATATTCCTTGAACAAGCCCCACTTTGTAATAGAGTATTATCCTTTTTACTTGATTTGTAAATACTTTGTTATAAAGAATATCAGTCTGTAGTTTGGGTATTTTTTTTTTGTAAAATCTTGTCTGATTTTAGTATCTGAATTATAGAAGCTTCATAAAATGAGTTAGGAAGTACATCCTCTTCTATTTTTGAGAAAAAGGAATAATATTGGCATTTATTTTTTCCTTGTAATTTTAACAGAATTCATCAGTGAAGATCCTTGTGGGAAATCCTTAAATTGTGAATTCAATTTTTTAAATGGATAAGGAATTCATCAGATATCTATTTTTTCCTGAATCGATTTTTTTTAAAGAAATATGCCCATTTATTTTAACTGCCAAATTTATTGGCATAAAGTTTTACATAATATTTCCTTATTTTTCTTCTAAGGTCTGTAGTATCAGTAATGATATCCCCTCTTCTACTGTTGATATTGATAATTCATGTTTTCTCACTTTTTTCTTGGTAAGCATTACTAAGTAAAGTACTTGCTTTACTGTAGTAAAGGCTGCTTTTCACCAAACCACCCTATAGCTTTACTGATTTTCTTTTCATCTATTTTTTATTTCATTGCCTTCTAGTTTTAATTTTCTTTTTTTTTTTTTTTCTATTTTCTTTGGGATTAATTAGTTTTTTGTCTATCCTCCTAAAGTAGAAGCACAGATCATTGATTTTATAGCTTTCTTCTCTTCTAATACAGGCATTCAACTATAAACTTCCCCCTAAGGACTAATTTACTTGAGTCTCACAATATTTTATACTGTTTTCAATATCACTCTGTTTAAATTGTTTTCTTATTTCCCTATGACTTCTCCTTGATCCAAGGGTAATTTAGAAGTGTGTTATTTAATTTCAAAGTATTTGTAGATTTGTATAGCTATTTTATTGTTAATGATTTACTGACTTAATACCATTGCAATCAGAGAACATACTCTGCATAATTCTGTCCATCTACTTCTATAAGTCTAGTTTATGCATTCTATAATTTAAAAGCAGAAACGAAGCCAAATAATCTTCTAAGACTGACTAAAAAAAACTACTGAATGAATTTTAACTGTAAGCCAGATATCAGTATATTTATTCTAATACCTCATGTCCTCAGTTTCCCTGTTCTATATTTTCTATTTTTATAAGAAAGAGGAGTTATACAAGTGTAATGTAAGCCAGAAATTAATACCTTAATAAAATTTAAAAAGCTAAAAAAAATGAGGAAAAGATAGTCAATTTCAAATTAACTAACTGAACACTGTTCAATGGAAAATACATTCTGAATACAATGGTAAAAGACACCACATATGGGAGCAACTGCTATCAAGGCATAGTAAGTTTCCAAAGTCAAATGTTTTCTAGAGGCCGGGCGCGGTGGCTCAAGCCTGTAATCCCAGCACTTTGGGAGGCCGAGGCGGGCGGATCACGAGGTCAAGAGATCGAGACCATCCTGGTCAACACGGTGAAACCCCGTCTCTACTAAAAATACAAAAAATTAGCTGGGCATGGTGGTGCGTGCCTGTAATCCCAGCTACTCAGGAAGCTGAGGCAGGAGAATTGCCTGAACCCAGGAGGCGGAGGTTGCGGTGAGCCGAGATCGCGCCATTGCACTCCAGCCTGGGTAACAAGAGCGAAACCCCGTCCCAAAAAAAAAAAAAAAAAAAAAAAAATGTTTTCTAGAAAGAGATATACATGTGCACGTGCACAAAACACACACATGCACACACACACATTACACACCTACTCTATCTCCAATTGAGTTTAATGGTTTCTACTGGTTCCTACCAAAGGATTTGTGATGTCTGAGGAATTAGATTAAAAATAGCATCCTTACTCTCATTTCATCAAGCACTTACCTTAAGGTACATTCCATTTCCATTTCAGAGGGTATAGAGAGAATGCGGAAAATGTATTTGTCAACTAACAAAGAAAAACTATCTCCAGGATTCAAATAGCACCATAGATTTGTCTTCAATGGTACGAGCTGACTCTTCTCTGAAGACTGATAAAAACATGGATTTGTGTGTATCTAAAAAATTTAAAAATAATATAATTAAATTAAAAAAGAATGCAATACAATAATGTTGTAACTCAAAATTATGACAAAAATACAATTAAATATGAATTCCGAATTTTGGTATCAAAACAATTTAAGCATAAACTTAGACTAATAAATCTAACTCTTATAAGTACCATAATTATTATTTATATAAGAGAAAAGGAGCTATGGTATACCTCCCATTTCTCCAGGAATCAAAGAAAAAAAGCAAAGTTATCACTTAACTGGTTAAAAGAGTCTTCTATTGTGCTTAATAGATACAACTGGATATCACAAAGAGAAACATGAAAAGTAATTCTCAGTACGGAAAAACTGAGTCCCCCAACTTCTATATCCAAAATGCACTAATTCCCTGACAATGGCTAGTTTCTTTACCATTTATTTTCTCCTACTAATTTCTTACTACAACTAAAAAATCAGAAACTACAATGCTATGGTTTCAATGTATCCCCCAAGTCCATGTGCTGGAAATGCCAACCCTAATGCAACAATGTTGACAAGTAGGACCTTTAACATGTAACTAGGTCATAAGGGAAATGCCCTCATGAATTTATTAATGGCATTATCACCAGAGTGGATTCATTATTTCAAAAGCAACTCTGCTATCTCGAGAGTGGGTTTGTCATAAATGCAAGTTTGGCTCTCTCTTGCTCACTCTCTCATGCATGCTCTCTCTCCATGTAATGCCTTTCACCACATTAGAATGCAGCAAAAAGGCTCTGACCAGATGCGGCCCCTGCGTTTTAGACTTCCCAGCTTCCAGAATGGTGAGCCAAATAAATGTCTGTTCATTATAAATTACCCAGCCTCAGGTATTCTGTTATAGCAGCGCAAAATGAACTAAGACATATGGGAAGGAAGATTCTAATCAAATCTCTAAAGCAAACAATACAGCTTTCTTTCTACCTGAAAGAGGAATCATCTTATTTGTTTAAATAAAACTCCCACTATGAAGATCATCCTCATTCAAATCACAAGTAGTAACAGATCTCAAAGTTAAAACGATTATAATATCCACTATTTTACTTGTGTTTGCCACTATTTTCGTGTTAGGAAAGGTAACAAGAGTTGCTTCAAAAAAAAAAAAGACCTATTATGAAGTGCCTTAAAAACTCTAACAAGATTCAAGCTAAAATTGGCTATTTCCATAAGTCAAATGTCCTTTTTTCATCAATATCACTGGGTTTTTTAAATAATAAGCTTTAGGATATGACAAAGCAATCTACATAATGCAGATCTTTGGTTTTTTGTTTTTCTTTTTAGTACAATCTTATATAGAGCACCTATCTTTCTTACCCTTCCTTCTGTCTATATCAGTTTAAATGAGACTTTTTCTGGAGACATCACAGCAAAGTAATTACCACCCTGGGAATGGACATATGCTGAGTAGTAGCAGTAACAAAAAATAGAAAGGAGACTGAATTGGACCTGTAACATTTCAAAAGAACAATAAATAATTAAAAATCTTTTCAATCCCTCCCAAAACCAGACCACAGTGAATTTAAAGATTTTTCTGAATATTCAAACCCTTCTTGACACCAAAAAGGGTTAAGGATCCCCAATTGCTTCAGTGAGACCATTTTTCTCATTTGCTTTGATTCTAAAAGCAAACAAGGGCAGACAAAATATTGGCAAACCCAAACCCACAGTGATGAAAAGATATAACTACCTACATGAGAGACATATTATTGGTGTGTGCCTTTTAACAAATCCATGGAATTATAAATTCAAACAAATAGATAATGCTATAACTTTAGAAGTGATGCAAAGGATGCATTTACCCTGCAAAAAATGGAACTAAAATACAAATCAATTTCCTATAGCTTTCTTTTAGAGTTATCATTAAATTTTAAAGAATGATAGATGTATACCCCCCCCCAAAACACCTTATTTTCTGTGTTTTTTTTTTTTAATTTGGAAAACTTTTTTAAACAAAGTAAAGTTGAGAAAAGGCTATCACAGGATTTTCCAGATATTTCACAAGTATACTTTTAATTTCATGAAAAGAAAACAATCTCAACTCGGGAACCTTGTGCAATAAAACAAACACAACCACACAAAGACATATATTTGAGGGTTGATAACAGAAAAAAAGAAAAATTGCAATTTATATATAGTTATAAAGCTACTGTCTCAATCATCCAAGACCCCAAATGAGTAAGATTTTATTAAAATGAAATAAAAGCACTGACAGCTATGAATTCACCCTGAGGGCATAACCAATCACTAGTGATGCAGTTATTTACAAAGAACATCATCCTCAGTTTGCCTTTATAATGTCTTTTCTCCCTGCTGATACTAGACTGTAGATTAAATTTAAATGGCACATAAAAAAGCTAACATCATCTCCTCAAGAGCTAGTATCATATCCTCATGCACCATTTCCAAGAACTGCTGGAGAGCTAAAGCATTTTTTGTAGGAGAAATATTAGAGGGAAAAAAGGCAGAAAGTCATTCAACTCAAAAGTACAAATTAGTAATTGCCCTAATTGCATTCAACTCTCTTTGTCAAAGCTATTTTTTTTATTTGGTGGTAAGTTTTTAAGGTAGATTTCCGAGTTAAAGCAAAGCAAAAAAAAATTAATCACTTAAATATAATTTGGGTTATGCAGTATACAGAAGGGACCATCATAAAAAATTTGCTATATTCATTTATGTAATTTTATAAAGATTTTTAACTAAAATTTCCCTCAGCATTTTATTACAATTGTATATATAACTTGCTTTAGTATATCAAAGAATTTGTGATTGATGAGGGAGCAGACAATAAGTGATATTTAACAAATATTAAGATAAAATGAATGAACTAGAAGTCACTCGTTCATCTTTCTGATTGTCAAGATCTTTAAACTTCCATTAACAATTAAAATCAGTTATAGAATTTATCTAAATTTATTTAAATTGTACCTTGCAGGTGTAGCTACAATAAGTTGCTAAATAAATACATCAATCTATTTCAAGATAATGGGCATTTTTATTAAAAATATATTAATATAAACATGTTTATTAGCCAGTCAGATTTCTAATGTGCAACTCAAGTTTTCAGCCCATTTTTCTACTGGATTTTTTATTTTTTCTAATTGATTAAAGGCATCTGTCATATGTTTTGGATAGCACTCCTGATAGAGCTTGAATATTTGTCACTGCCCACATCTCATGATGAATTGCAATCCGCAATGCTGGAAGTGGGACCTGGCAGGAGGTGCTTGGATTATAGAGGCAGATGCCTCATGGCTTGGTGCTGCCTTCAGGATAGTTGAGTTCTCGTGCGATCTGGTCATTTAAAGGTGTGTGGCACCTCCCACTCTGTATTAGTCTGTTTTCACATTGCTATAAACAACTACCTAAGACTGTGTAATTTATAAAGAAAAGAGGTTTCATTGACTCACAGTTCCATAGCCTGTACAGAAAGCATGGCTGGGGAGGCCTCAGGAAACTTTCACTCATGGTAGAAGGCAAAGGGGAAGCAGGCAACATTTGATATTGCTGGAGCAGGAGAGAGAGAAGGGGAAGGTGCTACACACTTTTAAACAACCATATCTCGTGAGAACTCACTCACTATCATGAGAACAGCAAAGGGAAAATTCAATGCCCCCATGATCCAATCACCTCCCACCAGGCCCCTCCTCCAACACTGGGATTACAATTTGACATGAGATTTGGGCAAGGACACAAATCCAAACCATATCACCCTCCCACTCTCTCTCACTTGCTCCTGCTTTCAACATGTGATGTGCTGGGTCCCCCTTAGCCTTTTTCCATGATTGTAAGTTTCCTGGGACCTCCCTGGAAGCCAAGCAGATGCCAGCACCATGCTTCACGTAAAGCCTGCAAAACTGTGAGCCAATTAAATCTCTTTTTATAAATTACCAGTCTTGGGTATTTCTTCATAGCAACCCAAGAATGGTGTAATACGGAAAATTGGGAATGGAAGTGGGGCATTGCTATGAAGATACTTAAAAGTGTGGAAATGACTTCAGAACTAACTAAGAGGCAGAAATTAGAAGACTTTGGAAGGCTGAGAAGAAGACAGGAAGATGAGAGAAGGTTTGGAATTTCTCAGAGACTGATTAAATGACCAAATGATCGGCAAATTTGTGACCAAAATGCTGATAGTGATGTGGACAATCTAGTCCAGGCTGAGGAGGTCTAAGATGGAAATGAGGAAATCATTGGGAACTAAAGGAAAGGTCAAGCATGTTAAGCCTTAGCAAAGAGCTTGGCTGCATTCAGTTGATGTCCTGGGGATATGTGGAAGTTTGACCTAAAGAACGATGATTTAGAGGATCTGGCAGAGGAAACTTCTAAGCAGCAAAGTGTTCAAGATGTGGCCTGGCTCCTTCTAACAACCTGCACTCAAATGTATAAGTGAAGAAATGACTTAAAGTTGCAACACATATTTAAATAGGAAGCAGAGTGGAAAAGCTTGATAAATTTGTAGGCTAGTCATGTGGCAGAGAAAAAAAAAAAACCTTTTCAGGAGAGGAATTCAAAGAGGCTGTGGAGCAACCACTTGCTAGAGATATATGCACAACTTTAAAAAAGCCAGGCTGAGTGCAGTGGCTCATGTCTGTAATCCCAATACTTTGGGAAGCTGAGGCAGACCGATCACCTGAGGTCAAGAGTTCAAGACCAGCCTGGCTAACATGGCAAAATGCCACCTCTACTAGAAATACAAAAAGTTAGCCAGGCGTGGTGGCACATCCCTGTAATCCTAGTTACTTGGGAGGCTGAGGCAGGAGAATTGCTTGAACCCAGGAGGCAGAGGTTGCAGTGAGCCAAGACCATGCCACTACTCCAGCTTGGGCAACAAAGCAAGACTCCGTCTCAAAAAGAAAAAAAAAAAAAAAAAAAAAAGCCAAGTTCTAATATCCGAGACAATGGTGAAAAGGCCTCAAATGCATTTCAGAGACCTTCATGGCAACGCCTCTTATCGTAGGCTCAGAGGCCTAGGAGAGGAGAATGATCTC